GGTAACTGGGGCACAACAGCTCTGGCCTCTGCAGTTGGTGTCAGGGCTGCAATGGGTCCTCATCATCACCCTCCTGTCTTCCCATTCTAAAGTCCCCATGTCCTCAGCCACCCTCACAACTACTCTCAGTGTGTTATCTTGTGGTGGGACCCAAAACCTCATTCCTGGGGTGACCAAGGAATGGTTTGGCTGAGCAGACCAGCTGCTTAAAGAACCTGCCCTTTAACTCTTATGATATTTGTTTGGAGCTCTGCTTTGTAAAGCTGAAGGATTATTCACCATGATCTTTGAAATTCACAGCTCCTGCTGTATGTCAGGGAAGATACAGAGTAGGAGGTTTCTCAGCCCTCACCCAAACAACTCCCAGGCAGATGACAACCACTATCATTGTCCCTTTTCCAGCCTCCTCATCCTCAAAACCTTGGGGGTCAGGACAGTAGCCAAGAGATGAGAAAGGAACCTGGTCTACAAAGCAATCTCAGGGTTTTTTCCCTCTTTCAGTGTTAATTCTCTATTATTCTTGATTGTATTTAGTTGTGCTTCCTTCCTTTTCATCTTGATTACAGTAGCTAGTGCTTTGTCTATTTTGTAACTGTATTAGAAAAATCGGATTAATATTTATTAAGCAGATTACCTGTTTGTCTATTCTTTGCTTCATATATTTATGTTTTTATCTTTATTGTTTTATTTACTGTTATCAAAAAATAACAGATGTTGACGAGGATGCAGAAAAAAAGGGAAGGTTTATATACTGTTAGTGGGAGTGTAAATTAGTTCAGCCTCTGTGGAAAGCAGTTTGAAGTTTCCTCAAAGAACTAAAAGTAGAACTACCATTTCACCCAGCAATCTCACTTGGTTTATCTCATCTAAAATAATTTGCTAAATTCTCCTATTGTCAGTGTTCCTTGCATGTCTCCAATATTTCTTCTTTATAAAGGTGTTTGCTGCGGTACATAATGCTTACATGTGGTATATCTAGGAGAATTGTGACTTTGAGCATTCAAATGTTTCCCTCTCACCATTTGAGCAAAAAGAATTTACAACATATGATAAATATTCATGACTGCACACTGATTTATATACACAATTGAATAAGAGAATACATGAGGAATAAATCTCCGACACAGAAAAATTTTAAATAATTTATGCAGATGCCTTTCTTTTAAAGAGTATGTTAAGTTATAGCTGTACATAGTCACTTCATTCCAGAGTGCAGAATGGAAAGAGCGGGGAGGAGAGTGACTTCATAGTGTGAGGAGCTGACACACTGCCTCAGCCTTGCAATCTAGGGCAACATCAATCATAAGTCATGTTGACATCCATACCCTTGATACGACATCATAAGAAGGGCAGTTTACCTCTGAGGTCTTCCTCCAAAAAAACCCATGTCCTTAGTATAACAACGAGAAAAATATCAGACAAATCTCCATTGAGGGACATTCTACAAAATACCTAAGCAGTACTCCTCAAAACTGTCAAGGTCTTCAAAATCAAGGAAAGTCTATGAAACTGTCACAACCAGGAAGAGTCTAAGGAGACGTGACCACTAAATGAAACATGTCCTGAATGGAAACCTGGAAAGAACACTGGTAGTAGCAAAGGCCATATGAACAAACTTTGGACTTCTGTTAATAATAATGTGTCAATAATGATTCAACCTTTGTGACAAATATGCCCTAGTAACGTAAGGTGTTACAGCAGGAGGGACAGTGCGCTAGTACACAGGAACTCTAGCAAACACCCTGAGATGCCAGGACTCCATTCCATGCTTCATGTGATTATCCTTGTGGAAATGAATTTACTGTTTTTTTGGTTTTGTTTTTTTGAGATGAAGTTTCACTCTTTTGCCTAGGCTGGAGAGCAGTGGCGTGATCTTGGCTCACTGCAACCTCTGCCTCCCAGGTTCAAGTGATTCTTTTGCCTCAGCCTCCCGAGTAGCTGGGACTACAGGTGTGCACCACCATGCCTGACTAACTTTTGTATTTTCAGTAGAGATGGGGTTTTCACCATATTGGCCAGGCTGGTCTCAAACTCCTGACCTTGTGATCTGCCTGCCCCAGCCTCCCAAAAGTGCTAGGATTTATGGGTGTGAGCCACCACACCCAGCCATGAATTTATTTTCATTGCAGATTCTCCATTTCTCTCTTCTCTTCTTTATACATGTATTTCTGGACCCCACTTTTTTCTCTGAAAAGGATGGAGGCAAAAGTTCAAGAGACATCTTCATTGAAAATCAGTTGTTCGTTCCATACATACAGTGTAAAGTTTCTACTGTTCTCCAGTTACTGATTATGGTGAAGAAGTCGTGTTTATGATTTATTGTTATTCTTGTGGAATCATACGGTTTTGTAAGAATGTGTTACGAGATGACATTCACAGACTCCAGCTCTTCTGGAAATCTGGCAATAATTTTTTTTTTTTTGGTAAAATACTGACTTGGGGGATACTTTTATAAGAATAATAAAAATTTGACTTTATAAAAGTTGATAACATTTGGAAGATTAAATATGATATAAGCAAAGGAAAACAATATAGTCACATGCTTCATAACAATGCTTTAGTCAACAGCAAACTGCATATACAAAGGTACTCTCATAAGAATATAATGCTGGAAAATTGATACAAACTCCTGATGTCATAGCCATGATAATGTCATAGTTCAATGTATTAATCACGTGTTTGTGGTGATGCTGATATAAACAAACCTTACTCATTGCCAGTCGGATAAAAGTGTAGCATATCCAATTATGTACACTCTGTAATACCTGATAACAATCGTAAATGACTGTTTTCCTCGTTTATATACTTACTATACTTTTTGTTACCATTTTAGAGTGCCCTCCTTCTACTTATTAAAAAATAAGTCAACTGTAAAACAGCTCCAGTTGGTTTCCCAGGCTGTATTCCAGAAGAAGGCATTGCTATCATAGGAGAAGACAGCTGCATGCATGATATTGCTTCTGAAGACCTTCCAGAGGGGCAAGATGTAGAGGTGGAAGAAAGTGATCATGATGACCCTGAGTAGACCCAGGCTATTGTGTGTTAGTCTCCTGGTTTTTAACAAAAAAGTCTTAAAAGTAAAACAAAATTAAATGGAAGCTTATAGACTAACAATATAAAAAGGAAATATTTTTGTATAGCTGTACAAGTGTTTGTATTTTAAGTTGTACTATTACCAAAGAGTCAAAGAGTTAAAAATAATTGAAAAGCATATAAAGTTAAAAAGTTACAGTAAGATGGCCATACCAGGTGGCTCATGCCTATAATCCCAGCACTTTGGGAGGCCGAGGCGGACGGATTGCCTGACCTCAGGAGTTTGCAACCAACCTGGGCAACACGGTTAAACCCCGTCTTTACTAAAAACATGCAGAAATTAGCCGGGCGTGGTGGCATGTGCCTGTAGTCCCAGCTGCTCAGGAGGCTGAGACAAAAGAATTGCTTGAACTCGGAGGTTGCAGTGAGCCAAGATTGCGCCACTGCACTCCAGCCTGGGCGACGGTGCAAGACTCTGTTTAAAAAAAAAAAAAAAAAAAAAAGTTACAGCAAAATAAGGTTGTTAGTGAAACAAGAAAATTATTTTAAGTAAATTGAGTGTAGCCTAAGTATACAGTGTTGATGTCCACAGTAGTGTACAGTCATGTCCTAGGCCTTTACATTTACTCACCACTCATTCATTCACTGACTCACCAGAGTGACTTGTAGACCTGCAATCTCCATTCATCACAAGTGCCCTATACAGGTTACCATTTTTTATTTTTATTTTTATTTTATTTTATTTTTTTGAGATGGAGTTTCGCTCTTGTTACCCAGGCTGGAGTGCAATGGCGCGATCTTGGCTCACCGCAACCTCCGCCTCCTGGGTTCAGGCAATTCTCCTGCCTCAGCCTCCTGAGTAGCTGGGACTACAGGCACGCGCCACCATGCCCAGCTAATTTTTTGTATTTTTAGTAGAGACGGGGTTTCACCATGTTGATCAAGATGGTCTTGATCTCTTGACCTCGTGATCCACCCGCCTCGGCCTCCCAAAGTGCTGGGATTACAGGCTTGAGCCACCGCGCCCGGCCACCATTTTCTATTTTTTAAACCACACTTTTATGGTACTTTTTTCTGTTTATATATATTTAGTTACACAAATACCCATTGTTTGACAACAGCCTACACTACAATATAGTAACATACTGTACAGGTTTGTAGCCTAGGAGTAATAGGAGCTACGATGCTACCTAAGTGTGTAGTAGGCTACACCATCTCTATTCCTAAAAGTACACTCTAGGATGGTTCCACAGCCATAAAATTCCCTAACAATCCATTTCTCAGAATGTATCACTTCTTAAGTGACCCACAACTATAGTTAACAGCTCCCCAGAAAAATATGTATTAAATGCATGAGAGTAAATTTTGAATTTTGTTTAAAGAAGAAGCACTCTTACAAATAAATTCAAACAATCTGGACAATCCAGTAGAAAAGGAAGCTAAGGGTATTAAAGGCAGTTCGTAGGGTAAAGAAATGTTAACACCTGAATTAATGTGAAAGCTATACCATCTCACTGAACATTAAACACAGGTTAAGAATTCATCATGTTTCCAGTGCATTTCTTGTATAACTTTGGATTTGCTAAAAACTTTAGGCAACTTCTTTTCCATATTTGGAAAGTAAAATAAAATTAAATGGAAGCTTAATCTATCAAATGTAAAATGAATGATCTGGAAAGACTGTTTCTAAAAACTCCTTCAATCCATTCAACAATGAAAGAGGCTGAATTTTTTTTTTTTTTTTTTTTTTTTGAGACAGAGTCTTGCTCTGTCACCCAGGCTGAAGTGCAGTGGTGTGATCTTGGCTCACTGCAACCTCTGCCTCCCAGGTTCAAGCAATTCTCATGGCTCAACTTTCCAAGTAGCTGGGATTACAGGCATGCACCACCATGTACAGCTAATTTTTGTATTTTTAAGTAGAGACGAGGTTTCACCACGTTGGCCAGGCTGGTTGCAAACTCCTGGCCTCAAGTGATCCACATTTCTTGGCTTCCCAAAGTGTTGGGATTACAGGCATGAGCCACTGTGTTGGACCTGAGGCTGAAAGTTCTATCAAAGCCATTTTCCTGAAAGTAATGAGGTAAAAATAGAAAACATTGAGTTAATAAAAATGAGAGAATAAGGGAGTGCTTCCATCTGCAGTGTCTTCTCTTTGCTTTTGCTTTCACATGTTACCTTATGCTGTTCCATCAGGCTAGGCTGTCAGTCTCAATCCTATGGACCACCTTTCATGGTCCAGATCAAATGGCTCCATCAATGTGACCTTATTAAGAAGTTAGTTCTGCATCTTAGTTCTAGGCCCAGCATGGCTATGGAGCACTCTGTGAATAAAAGACCTTCATCCTCCTCTCTGGGACTCAGTTACCTCATCCTTAATGTGAGGAGGTGGTTCGTCATAATATCAAGGGGTACTTTCTGTTCTAAATTGAATGAAACACTGTGTGATCAAGGGACATGGTAAGAATTGATAAACACTGGATGGCTGTTTTTACCTCCTAGGGCTAGCACCTGCTTACCCTGAGAGGGCTGGACCTCATGACTGGATAAAGAGAGTCTCTCTGTCCCACTTCTAGACAGGGCATAAGAAGTGGCTTCAGCGTTCCTTAAGCTGTCCAGTAGCTGCTCTATTATTCCTTCTCAAGGATGATCACGGAGCCGCGGCTGCAGGGCTCAGAAGGAAATCAGGGTCCTATTAGATGTTGCATTGTTGGGTCTAGGTGGTGGGAACAAGAGGAGTGGGACAGAGAATATGTGTCTCCTCCTGTAACTGAAAACTTGACATTTTCTGTACTCATGGAAGCCACTGGGAGTGGCTTGAATGCATTTTAGGCAACTTAGATGTGCAAGGAAGACCCCAAATCCAGTCATTTTCCCCTTCTTCTAACTTCTCATCCACATATTCAGATATGCCCTCAGAAAGCTCTAGGTAGTTTGGAGGCTCTGTTAGAGGGCTCAGAAAACTCTACATGCTTAAGCCTTCGCTTTTCTAGATGATGTTACTGAAATTAGTAAGAACAGAACTTATCCATGTCTGTTAGGAGTAGGACTCATCCGGGAGATGGCACAGTACTGCCTGTTCCTGAATTCCAGAAAGGAGTCAGAGAACAAAGAGTACCTGGAAGGAGGATGAAGCCGGATAAGGGAATGTGGGTAAAAGGACTCTCTTCTCTGCCCAGTTACGCAGTGTTCCAGGTGGTCAGGAACACATCTTGATAGGCCTAAAACCAAAGGACATTTGCTCCAAAATTGTATCTCCCAAAATGGATCCTCATCATGTCGTAAATTCTTTTTCTTTCAATTAATAATTTCCTTTGAAATTCAAAATAGTTGGAAATAAGGACAAGCTCCAAATATCAGGAGACATCTTCAGGCATCAGTTGGAATCATAGAAATTATGTTTGAAACAATTTGATCAAGTCAGCTATTTTCATACAATGGTAGAACGAACCCATGTCTGGGAATCAGGGAGCCAGTTCTTTTCTGGGCTTGACTTACTGAGTGAAATTAGGAAAGGCATTCCTTTCTTCAAAGGCCTGTGCAATTGTGATAAAGCAAAGAAGGAAATACATCTTTCGACAGTGATTTTATTGTTCCTTATGCCCTTCAAAGATTGTTTTGTTAATAAAATGTCAATATCTCTAGGGAGGCCATGCAGAGGCAGCAAAGTAAAATGTGTTGGGCCTCATACCTGTCTTTGAAGTCCTGGATCTCCAAGCCCTTGTCTGGTTCCAGCACTCTTTGGACAAGGCTGTCTTCCTTAGTGACAGCACCTCTCATTGCTTAGGAAGCTGGGGCAACTGGAACCCCGTATGTGCCTTTGAAACCTGATTTGTGTCTGGAGGACACATCCAATGCATGGATCACATTCAGAATTATTGCAGAGGGAAGCAATGAAATGGAAGCAAGAAAAATAGCATATTTTTAACTCACCCAAGAGATTACTCACAGTTTCTTTTTTCTGAGTTGATCTCCATCAAGTGCATTAATAATTTTTCTCTGAGTTATTTCAGTGAGCAGTTTCCAGGGGATCTTTGGCATAGTTGAAGACAATAGAAGGCAGAAGATGAGGAATGAGTAATTTCCACAACCTCCTCCCCAAGCGGTATAAAATAACTCTACCACTAAGAAATTTCTAAGCAAAACCTCACCCTCAACATAACTTGAAAACCAAGAATGCCAAAAATACAAAATACCTGTCAGTGAAAAGGAAACAAACAACAAATCCCAGTGCTGAGGACTCACTCTCCTGCCCTTTCCAGCCCCACTATGAAGCTTAAAGCTTTGCAAAATTGACCAAAACAATCAACCAACCAAACACACACACACACACACACACACACACACACACACACACACACACATACACTCACCACTGCTGAGGAAAAAGTGACATCACCAAGATGGTGAAATAGAATTCACCTAATCATGTCCCACAACAACCATAAGAATTCTACTCCCATCTAGAGTTCAAAGTCTCCCTGGATTCAGGGAGGAATGTGTGAAATGTCAGTGGAGCCCAAGACTTTAGAGATTTATTTTGAGAGTGCAGACAGACACCCAGGTGGCTGATCTGCTGAGCTTGCTCCCAGGTTCAATACTGGAAAGGGCCCAGTCCTCCCAGCGTTTGGCTACTGCACCATGTTGACTTCACGCTGCAACCAAAACCATCTGCTGAGGGGTCCAGAAGGAATTACACACACTTGGCAGAAAGGCTGCTCTGCTCACTGGCATTGTCTAAATAGTGAACCTGAAAGTTGCCATGTAGCTTTGTCCAGCCCCCATCAGCTAAAGTTTCAGCTTAGAGCTGCTTACACAACTCACAGAGAGACCCATCCATATCTCATAGGCCAGCAGTCTGAGCCTCCCAGATAGGCACGCCGTCCTTTGTCCCACAGCAGGTCCAGATGGGATCCAGTCTCAGCTCCAGCCCATATTGTCTTAGTTGGGGAACTGTCCTGTCAGTGCTAAGATCTTCTGGGAGATGTGTACTAGCCTGGACCAAAAAGACAGGCTCTTGTCACACAGCAGATCCTGAGGGAGTTCCAGCTGCACCTTTGGTCCCTCCTGCTGAAATTGAAAAACTCTCTTGTTTTTACAGGAACTTGCTGGGAGATGTGCTTACCTGTAAACAAATGACCAGGCTTTTCAGCCTCTGCCCCACAGCATATTGTGAGGGGGCCCAGTCTCAACTCTCCTTCTGACTGCAATTGAGAAACTACCACGTCTGCTAAGATCTTCTGAAACATGTGTGCCTATCTGAACCAATGACATGTACATCCATCCTCTCCCTGAGAGCAGATCCTGAGAGATCCCAGTTCTAGTTCCAGCCAACCCAGCTGCAATTGGAGAATTATCCCACTTGTTCAGGGTCCTCCCTGAAGATGTGCTTCTGCCTGAGCCAACATGACAGGTATGCCAGTTTCTGTCCCATAGTAAATCCTGAGGGGGCCAAATCTCAGCTGTGGCTTCTGGTGGTGTAGTTTAGGAATTAAGTACTTGTGTAGAAACCTTCTAGGTGATACATGCTATCTGAGTCAATGAATGGCCTTCTTGCCACAGTAGATCCCAAATGGACCTAGTCTTAACTCTAGCCACTCTCACTGCAGTTGGGAACCCATCTGCCTATGTAGAGACCTGCAAGAAATTTTATCCGTTTGGGACATGGCAACATTTTTGGACTATGATTTCTCACCAACATTCCCACATGTCCCCAGTACCCTCCTTGGATCTTCTGCAGATCCATTTAAACTGGTAGTTGCATTAACTTCAGAGCCTTACAAGACTTACAGGAAGCCTGGGCTTAGAGTGTCCTCTAGTGTTGAAATGGTTGCAGTGGTCACAGACACAGGGAACTAATTAATCAGTCTGTTTAGAATCCCTGGAAGACCCTCTGAATAAGAATAGGAGCAAACAAAGCCAGACTGTGAAGATTAAAATAAATATTGAATCCTTAAATGTGTAAACATTGTTGTACATCCACAAGCATTAAGAGCATTCAGGAAAATATAACCTGACCGAATATGACAAAATAAGATGTCAAAGACTGACCCTTAAGTCATGGAGATGTGTGATCTCTCAGACAAAGAATTCAAAATAGATGTTTTAAGGAAGCCCCACGAAGTTCCAAAAAAAAAAAAAAAAAAAAAACCCATGGAATCTGATATGGTTTGGCTGTGTCCCCACCCAAATCTCATCTTGAATGGTAGTTCCCATAATCCCCATGTGTAGTGGGAGTGACCCTCTGGGAGGTAATTGAATCATGGGAGAGTTACCTCCATGCTGTTCTTATGATTGTGAGTTCTCATGGGATCTGATGGCTTTGCAAGGGGCTTTTCCCACTTTTGCTCAGCACTTTTCCTTCCTGCCATAATGTGAATTAGGAGATGTTTGCTTCCATTTCCATCATGATTGTAAGTTGCCTGAGACCTCCCCAGCCATGTGGAACTGTGAGCCAATTAAACCTATTTCCTTTATAAATTATCCAGTCTCAGGCAGTCCTTTATAGCCGAATGACAATGGCCTAATACAGTGAATTGGTACTGAGTAGTCAGGTGCTTCTGTAAAGATACTCAAAAATGTGGAAGTGACTTTGGAACTAGGTAACAGGCAGAGGTTGGAACTGTTTGGAGGATCAGAAGAAGACAGGAAGATGTGGGAAAGTTTGTAAATTCCTAGAGACTTGTCAAATGGTTTTGAAATGCTGATAGTGATATGGACAATGAAGTTCAAGCTGAGGTGGTCTCAGACAGAGATAAGAAACTTATTGGAAACTGGAATAAAGGTGAATCTTGCTATGTTTTAGCCAAGAGACTGGTGGCATTTTGCCCCTGACCTGGAGACCTGTGGAATTTTGAACTTGAGAGAGATGATTTAGGGTATCTGGCAAAAGAAATTTCTAAGCAGCAAAGCATTCAAGATGTGGCTTGAGTGCTGTTAAAAGCATTTAGCTTTATGTATTCACAAAGATATGGTTTAGAAATGGAACTTATGTTTAAAAAGGAAGCAGAGAATAAAAGTTCAGAAAAATTTCAGCATGATGATGTGCTAAAAAAGAAAAATCCATTTTTCTGAGGAGAAATTCAAGCCACTGCAGAAATTTTTGTAAGTAATGAGGAGCCAAATGTTAATTGATTAGACAATGGGGAAAATGTCTCCAGGGCATGTCAGAGATCTTCACAGCAGCCCCTCCCATAACAGGCCTGGAGGCCTGGGAGAAAAAAATGGTTCCATGGGCCAGGCCCAGGGCTTGCTGCTTTGTGCAGTCTTCGAACTTGGTGACCTGCTTCCTGGCCATGGCTAAAAGTGGCCAAGATACAGCTCAGACCATGGCTTCAGAGGCTACAAGCTCCAAGCCTAGGCAGCTTCCAAATGTTGAGCCTGTGGGTGCACAGAACTCAAGAACTGAGGTTTGAGAACCCCCACCTAGATTTCAGAGGTTGTTCACCATAATGTCCAGGCAGAATTTTGCTGCAGGAACAGAACCATCATGGAGAACCTCTGCTAGGGCAGTGTGGAAGGGAAATGTGGGATCAGAGTCCCTACACAGAATCCTCACTGGGACACTGCTTAATGGACCTGTGAGAAGAGGGCCACCATCCTCCAGACCCCAAAATGGTAGATCCACTGACAGCTTGCACTCTGTACCTGGAAAAGCCACAAATAATGCCAGCCCATGAAAGTAGCCCCAAGGGGGGGCTATACCCTGCCAAGCCATAGGAGCAGAGCTTCCCAAGGATGTGGGAGCTCACCTCTTGCTTCAGTGTAACCTGGATGTGAGACATGGAGTCAAAGATATTATTTTGGAGCTTTAAGATTTAATTACTGCCTCATTGGATTTTGGCTTGCATGGGGCCTGTAGCCTTTGTTTTGGCCAACTTTTCCCATTTAGAATGGGTGTATTTACCCAATACCTGTACCCCCATTATATCCAGGAAGTAACTAAGTTGCTTTTGATTTTACAGGCTGATAGGTGGAAGGGACTTATTTGTCTTAGATGAATGTTTGGACTTGGACTTTTGGGTTAATGCTAGAATGAATTAAGATGTTGGGGGACTATTGGAATGGCATGGTTGTGTTTTAAAATGTGAGGACATCAGATGTGGGAGGTGCCAGGGATAGAATAATATAGTTTGGCTGTGTCCCCACCCAGATCTCATCTGAAGTTTGGTTCCCATAATCTCCACATGCCATGAGAGGGCCGGTGGGAGGTAATTGAATCACAGGGGTGGTTACTTCCTGGCTGTGTCTCCACCCAAGTCTCATCTTGAATTGTAGTTCCCATAATCTCCACATGCGGTGGGAGGGACCCAGTGGGAGGTAATTGAATCATGGGGGCAGTTATTTCCAGGCTGGTCTCATGACACTGAGTTTTCATGAGATCTGATGATTTTACTTAAGGCGCTTTTCCTTCTTTTGCTTGGCACTTCTCCTTCTTGCCATCATGTGAAAAAGGATGTGTTTACTTCCCTTTCCACCATAATCCTAACCCTCCACAGCCATACGGAACTGTGAATCAATTAAATTTCTTTCCTTTATAAATTACCCAGTCATGGGCAATCCTTTATAGCAGTATGAGAACAGACTAATACAGAATCAATTCAGAAATGTGTCAGAAAAATTTAACAGTGAGATTGAATATAATTTTTGAAGATCAAATAGAATACTGGACCTGAAAAATGCAATGAATAAAATGAAAAAATACAATCAAGAATGTCAGAGGTAGATTCAATCAAATAAAACAAGTAAGAAAGAAATAAAACAAAAGATAAAAGGCAAACAATAATAACAACAATAAAAATGCAGCTCCTTTTTTCTTTCTTGGAAGAAGTTTATGACATACTCTTCCAGTGGCTACTTAGTGACCTGGTTTCTAACTAACTTGCACTGGGGAGTTAAAGAGACAGACAAGTGTTAACCCTAGAAATATATAGGCACTTTTTAAGCTTTCTTCCCCAGTTCACTCCAGTGATAATTAAGTCTATCAATTCCTCCTGGAAGGAATTTGTTTATACATTGAGTGCCGCAATTTTTACAATTTCCACCTGAGGGTCTGTATACTAACCCTCTTAGTTCTGGGAGCAGAGACTGGAATGTATGTCTCTTCAGACCACAGTAAAAAATGTGACAGTTTTATATGAGCATGTGAGCATATCCAGGGGTTACATGGACCAGGAATTGTAAGAAGGGGTATAGAAAAACCCTGTCCTCTGTTTTCCCCCAGAAGGCATTTATGCCATATAGCAGTTGCCCCAACGCATACAGCTACCTCCTGATGGACTCCTTAAACTTCTTAGCTCTGTGTACAGGGGATAAGCACATTCTAGTCTTTCTAGATTATAGAACAAAAAAATTGATTTTAAATGGGACTGTAACAAATTCCATAGGCTACTCCCGTTTGAAGAAGTGCAGAAAAGGAGCAAGAATGTGCAGCAGCTCTCAAGTTCTCTCCAGAAAGAGCTTACAGCACACACTTCCAGTTTGTTTACCCCATTGGGTAAACAAACAATAGCCTCTGGCAGCTGGAGCCAGGGTTTGGCACTTCTTGAGCCTTCCATCCAGCTTGCCCAATGGTAAATCTAGGCATACTCATTCTTCCTGGAAGGAGTTTGACCATGGACTGAGTACCGAAATTTTTATAGCTGTCACCAAATGGACAGTTTCTTTAACAACCTAGCTCTGAGAGTCAGTGGGGCTTCGTATTCCTGAGTTGCTCTAGACAACAAAAAACAAAGAAGTGGTTTTACAATAAGTTCACTCCAGAACCTATCTGCCTATAGCAGAGGGTGTTATGATCAGAGGGTGAAGCATCAGTATAAGCACAGCATTTTTCATGATCAGAGGGTGCAGCCTGAACACGAGCACTCCATTTGCCATTTGACTGAACTCAACCACCCAGTTGACTGAAATCAACCACCCAAGGGCAACAAAGAAGATAAAAGAAAAAAATCCCTCATTCAAAGGACAGCAATCTCAAATGTTGAAGGAACATTGCCTTCAAAGATGAGAAAAAAAACCAATGCAAGAACTCTGGCAACTCAGAAAGTGGCAAAGTGTTTTTACCTCCAAATAATCATACTAGTTTTCCGGGAATGGTCCTTAATATGCTTAATGGCTGAAATGGCAGAAATAGAATTGAGAGTATGGATAGGAATGAACATCACTGAGATTCAGGAGAAAGTAAAAACCCATTCCATGAAATCATAGAAATACAATAAAATGATATGGGAGATAAAGATAAAATGGCCATTTTAAGAAAGAACCAAACTGATCTGATAGAACTGAAAATCTCACTTCAAGGTTCTCGGGATACCAATTGCAAGTATTAACAGCAGAATCGACCAAGATGAGGAAAGAATCTCATAGCTTAAGACCTCAAAGCTATTTTGGTTCTTCAAAATAACTCAGACAAAAATAAAGGAAAAATATTATGAAGAATAAGAAAAACCTCCAGGAAATATGAGAATATGAAAAGAGACCAAATCTATGACTCACTCATGTTCCTGAAAGAGAGGAAGAGAAAGTGAGCAACTTAGAAAATATATTTGAGAATATTACCGACAAAATTTTCCCCATTCTCATTAGAGAGGCCAACATTCAAATTCAGGACATGCAGAGAACCCCTGCAAAATATCATGCTAGATGAGCAACCCTAAGACACATAATCCTCAGATTCTCCAAGGTCAAAATAAAACAAAAAATGGTAAAGGCAGCTAGAAAGAAGAGGCAGGTCACCTACAAAGGGAAGCCCATCAGCTAACAACAAACTTGTCAGCAGAAACCCTACAAGCCAGAAGAAATTGGGGGTCTATATTCAGCTTTTTTAAAGAAAAGAAATTCAATTGAGAATTTAGTATCAAGACAAATTAAGCTTCATAAGTAAAGGAGAAATAAGATCTTTTTCAGAGAAGGAAACGCTAAGAGAATTCATTACCACCAGATCTGTCTTACAAAAGGTCCTAAAGGGAGTGCTAAATATGGAGAGGAAAGACCATAAGCAGCCACTAGAAAAACACACTTAAGTACATAAACCATTGACACTATAAAGCAACCACACAATCAAGTTGTGTATTAACCAGGTAACAGCAGGATGACAGGATCAAAACCACACCTATCTATTTTAACCTTGAATGTAAAAAGGCTAAATGTCTCAATTAAAAGGCACAGAGTGGCAAGTTGGATAGAGAATCAAGACCGAATTGTATGCTGTTCTCAAGAGTCTATCTCACAAGCAATGACACCTATAGGCTTAAAGTAAAGGGATGCAGAAAAATCTACCAAACACTACACAGAAAAACGCAGGGGTTTCTATCTAATTTAAGAAAAAACAAACTTTAAACCAATCAAGATAAAAAAACACAAAGAAGGGCATTAGAGAATGGTGAAAGGCTTAATTCAGCATGAAGACCTAGCTATCCTGAATATATATGCATCTAACATAGGAGCTCCCAGATTCCTAAGTCAAGTTCTTAGAGACCTATGAAGAGACTTAGATAACCACGCAATAATAGGGGGAGACTTTAACACCCCACGGACAGAATTAGACAAATCTTTGAGGCTGAAAAGTAACAAAGATATTTGGGATCTGAATTCAACACTGGACCAAATGGATCTCTCTGCAGAAACCCTACAAGCCAGAAGAGAGTAGGGGCCAATATTCAACATCCTTAAAGAAAAGAACTTTCAACCTAGAATTTCATATCCAGCCAAACTAAGCTTCATAAGCGAAGGAAAAATAAAATCCTTTATGAACAAGCAATTTCTCAGAGATTTCATCACCACCAGGCCTGCTTTACAAGAGCTCCTGAAAGAAGCACTAAACATAGAAAGGAACAACCAGTACTAGCCACTCCAAAAATGTATCAAATGTTAAAGAGCATTGACACAATGAAGAAACTGCATCAACTAACAGGTAAAACAATCGGCTAGCATCAAAATGGCAGGATCAAATTCACACATCACGTTATTAACCTTAAATGTAAATGGGCCAAACGCCTCAATCAAAAGACACAGACTGGCAAATTGGATAAAAAGTCAAAACCCATCAGTGTGCTGTATCCAGAAAACCCATCTCACATGCAAGGATACACATATGCTCAAAATAAAGGGATGGAAGAAGATCTACCAAGCAAATAGGGGGCACAAAAAAGCAGGAGTTGCAATTCTAGTCTCTGATAAAATGGACTTTAAACCAACAAAGACCAAAGAGACAAAGAAGGGCATTGCATAATGGTAAAAGGATCAATGCAACAAGAAGAGCTAGCAATCCTAAATATATACACACCCAATACAGGAGCACCCACATACATAAAGTAAGTTCTTACCTACAAAGAGACTTAGGCTCCCATACAATAATAGTGGGAGACTTTAACACTTCACTGTCAGTATTAGACAGATCAACGAGACAGAAAATTAACAAGGATATCTAGGACTTGAACTTAGACCTGGACCAAGCAAACCTAATAGACATTTACAGAAGCCTCTACCCCAAATCCACAGAATATACATTCCTCTCAGCACCTCTTCACACCTACTCTAAAATTGACCACATAATTGGAAGTAAATCACTCCTCAGCAAATGCAAAAGAACAGAAAACATAACAAACAGTCTCTCAATTAGGAAAGGAGGAAGTCAAATAGTCTCTATTTGCAGACGACATGATTGTATATTTAGAAGACCCCATCGTCTCAGCCCAAAACCTCCTTAAACTAATAAGAAACTTCAGCAAAGTCTCAGGATACAAAACCAATGTGCAAAAATCACAAGCATTCCTATTCACCAATAACAGACTTAAAGAGAGCCAAATCAAGAACAAACTGACATTCACAATTGCTACAAAGAGAATAAAATACCTAGGAATACAACTAACAAAGGATGTAAAGGACCTCTTCAAGGAGAACTACAAACCACTGCTCAACGAAATAATAGAGGACACAAACAGATGGAAAAACATTCCATGCTCATGGTTAGGAAGAATCAATATCATGAAAATGGCCATACTGCCCAAAGTAACTTATAGATTCAACGCTACCATCAAGCTACCAATGACCTTCCTCACAGAACTGGAAAAAACTGCCTTAAACTTCCTATGGAACCAAAAGAGAGCCCACATAGCCAAGTCAATTCTAAGCAAAAAGAACAAAGCTGCAGGCATCACACTATTGGACTTCAAACTATACTACAAGGCTACAGTCAGGTAGTCAAAACAGCATGGTACTGGTACCAAAACGGAGATATAGACCAGTGGAACAGAACAGAGGCCTTGGAGGCAACGCCACACATCTACAACCATCTGATCTTTGACAAACCTGACAAAAACAAGCAATGGGGAAAGCATTCCCTGTTTAATAAATGATGTTGGGAAAAGTGGCTAGCCATGTACAGAAAGCAGAAACTGGACCCCTTCCTGACACCTTACACTAAAATTAACTCCAGATGGATTAAAGACTTAAACAAAAGACCTAATACCATAAAAACCTTAGAAGAAAACCTAGGCAAAACCATTCAGGACATAGGCATAGGCAAGTACTTCATGACTTAAACACCAAAAGCATTGGTAACAAAAGGCAAAATAGACAAATGGGACCTAATTAAACTCCAGCGCTTCTGTACAGCAAAAGAAACAATCATTAGAGTGAGCTGGCAACCAACAGAATGGGAAAAAATTTTTGCAATCTACCCATCTGACAAAGGACTTATATCCAAAATCTACAAAGAACTAAAACAGATTTACAAGAAAAAACAAACAAACCCATTCAAAAGTGGGCAAAGGATATGAACAGACACTCTTCAGAAGAAGGCATACATGAGGCCAACAAACATATGAAAAAATGCTCATCATCACTGGTCATTACAGAAATGCAAATCAAAACTACATTGAGATACCATCTCATGCCAGTCAGAATGGTGATCATTAAAAATTCTGGAGACAACAGATGCTGGAGAGGATGTGAAGCAATAGGAGCACTTTTACACTGGTGGTGGGAGTGTAAATTAGTTCAACCATTGTGAAAGATAGTATGGCGATTCCTCAAGGACCTAGAAACAGAAATTCCATTTGACCCAGCAATCCCATTACTGGGTATATATCTAAAGGATTATAAATTGTTCTACTATAAGGACACATGCACACATATGTTCATTGCAGCACTGTTTACAATAGCAAAAACTTGGAACCAACCCAAATGCCCATCAATGATAGACCGGACAGGGAAAATGTGGCACATATACACCATGGAATACTATGCAGCCATAAAAAAAGAAAGATGAGTTCGTGTCCTTTGTAGGGACATGGATGAACCTGGAAACCATCATTCTCAGCAAACTGACACAAGAACAGAAAATCAAACACCATATGTTCTCACTCATAGGCAGGTGTTGAACAATGAGAACACATGGACACAGGGAGGGGAGCATCACACATTGAGATCTGTGGGGGGTGACTAAGGGAGGGACAGTGGGGGGTAGGGAGTTGGGGAGGGATAACATGGTAGAAATGCCAGATATAGGTGATGGGGATGGAGGCAGCAAACCACATTGTCATGTATGTACCTATGCAACAATCCTGTATGTTCTGTACATGTACCCCAGAGCCTAAAATACAATTATATATATATATGGATACATGTATGCAGTATGTGTGTCACAACACTATCCACAATATCAAAGACATAGAATCAAGCCAATTGCTCATCAATGATAGACTGTGTAAAGAAAATGTGGTACATAAACACCATGGAATACTATGCAGCCATGAAAAAGAACAAGATCATGTCCTTTGAGGCAAGATGGGTGGAGCTGGAGGCCATTGTCCTAAGCAAACTAATAAAAGAACAGGAAAGCAAATACCACATTTTCTCACTTATAAATGAAGGCTAAACTTTGAGTACATGTGGACACAAAGAAGGGAACAATGGACAGTAGGGCCTACTTGAGGATAGAGAATGAGAGGAAAGTGAAGATCAAAAAGCTAATCAGATACTATGCTGATTACCTGGTGATAAAATACTTCTGCACTCGAACCTTCCATGACATTCAATTTACCTATACAACAAACCTACACATGTATCCCTGAACCTAAAATAAAAGTTAAAAATAAAACTCCAAAATTAGACACACAGTCTGTTCATGAGGCTTGATGGAAAGAGGTAATTTTATCCACTCCTGGTGGGATTACAATATGGTACAACCCCTGTCAAGGGATCAAAATTTCAAATGCATTTCTCCTTTGTACTAGTAAATCTACTTCTGGGAATGTGGTTCACGAGAAGGAAAGCCAAGAAAGGCCACATGTGGTGTAGTTTGTAATAGCAAAATATTGAAAACAACCTGTGAGGGTGGCAATGTGGGTTTATTGAAAGTTAATGTAATCTATAAATGATTTGCTCTGCAGCTTTAACACACACACACACACACACACAAACACACACACACACACACTCACCAAGCAATCCAAGAACTAGAAAATTACTAATAACCAATAATTTAAATCAATCCGTGTCCTTCTCACCCATCCAGAATGTTTTCTTCTCTCATTTCCAGAGTTAGCCACTATCCTGTATTTCATGTTTATAGTTTTTTCTCTCTCTCTCTCTCTCTTTTTTTTTCTTTTTTTTTGAGACGGAGTTTCGCTCTTGTTACCCAGGCTGGAGTGCAATGGCACGATCTCGGCTCACCGCAACCTCCGCCTCCTGGGTTCAGGCAATTCCCCTGCCTCAGCCTCCTGAGTAGCTAGGATTACAGGCACGCCCCACCATGCCCAGCTGATTTTTTGTATTTTTAGTAGAGATGGGGTTTCACCATGTTGACCAGGATGGTCTCGATCTCTTGACCTTGTGATCCGCCCGCCTCGGCCTCCCAAAGTGCTGGGATTACAGGCGTGTTTTTTTTCTTTTTTTGAGATGGAGTAGCACTCTGTTTCCCAGGCTGGAGTGCAGTGGCGCGATCTCAGCTCACTACAACCTCCACCTCCTGGGTTCAAGCAATTCTCCTGCCTCAGCCTCCTGAGTACCTGGGATTACAGGAGCCTGCCACCATGCCCAGCTAATTTTTGTATTTTCAGTAGAGATGGGGTTTCACCATGTTAGCCAGGATGGTCTAGATCTCCTGACCTCATGATCCGGCCACTTCGGCCTCCCAAAGTGCTGGGATTACAGGTGTGAGCCACTGCGCCCAGCCAGTTTTCTCATTTTTTATGTAACCCTTTTTGGTCTTTGCTTCCTATGTGAACATGCCTAGGCAATATATTTCTCAGTTTTCCTTCATTTTGAGTTTTATGACGTGTATAATTCTAAATATTGTCACTTTGGACTTGTGTTGTTTATTCAACATTATTTTAATTATAGTCATATTGTGCATGGCTGTAATTCAGTTATTTTCACAATTGTATAATAATTCCTTGCATTAGTATGTCATAATGTATTTATCCAGTATCTTAGTATTGATAATATGGACTGTTTCCAGTATATTGTTGTTAAAAACAGTACTTTTATGAACATTATTGTGCATGTTTCCCGATAAGCATGTGGACATATTTTTCTTAATTAAATCTTTACAAGTGCAATTGCTGGATTATAGATTGTGTACACATTCAGTGTTACTAGCTGATGTCAAA